TTTTGAAAATGTGTATTTGGACATGCTTTGTCAGTTGTCATTCAAATTTGGTACATAGATTATACATGTAGGATACATGTCCATGACGATTTATTTCACTATTGGATCAAAGATGGTCGACTGGCAGACATCTTGTTTTTGTTTTTTTATGCGGTATCTGGACGTGCTCTGTCAGTTTTCATTCAAATTTGGCACATACATGTACTTTATACATGTTAGGATGCATGTCCATGACAATTTGTTTCAAAATCTGGTCAAGGATGGCCGATTGACAGCCATCTGACTTTTTGGCCTTACTACTATATTTCCACAATTCATGTACCATTTTCATTCGTATTTGGCACATCATACATATCAGTGTGTTTCATAATCAGATCAAAGATGGCCGAATAACGGCTGTTTTTATTTTGGCCATATTACTATGACACGAAACACGTGTTTTGATGTAAATAAACAATCTGTTGTATACGCCACTTGGAACTCAAGTTTCAAGGACACACTCGCGACAACCCCTCCGCTTTAATATGACGAGCACAAAGAGAACTTAACGGGGACTGTGTCATTTTCAATGACTTGTGTTTTTATAAAAGTCATGTAAAATTCTATAACTGATCCTTAGATATATGTTTCTGGTTGTTTATTTAGAAATTGGTTGGAGATGAGTGTGTTCCAGCCATACATAGGTTGGAACAGGTTTCCAGTGAAGAAGGTGTGGGTTCATTGGCTGAGAATCTTATGGAAGCACTCAAAGATAACCCTAGTGTTGCTAAAAAGGTATGTTTACACATACACTATATCTCATTCTAAAATTGTTGTTTAAGATACCTGGATGAATGTTTCCTGGTGCCTGGATGTATGTACCCAGGTGCCATAGTTTATTTACTGGTGCCTGGATGTAAGGTCCCAGGTGTCTGTTTATTTTCTGGTTCCTGGATGTAAGATGTCATAATTAATTTGTTGGTGGCTAGGGGAAAATGTCTTACTTGAATTTATTTTTTGGTGCATTGTGCTGTTGTTTTTCTGGTACCCAAATCTACGATTCCATGCGTCCCTGTGAAATTGATTGTGCTTGCAAAAGTTTTTATTATGTAATGCCATATCCAGCTTTTATACTTCTCACTTTTCAATACTATCCAGATCAAAGAAGTGAGAGAACAGACCAAAGCAGAAAAGAAGAGATTGGCCATGGCAATGAGACAAAAACAACTTGGTGCTTTAGGAATGTCTGTAAGTCTTTACAACTGTTTTATTTCTAAAATTCTACCTCCATTGGTATTTCAAGATAAGATGTGATGTGACATGCAGTATTCTTACAATACTGGCCAAAATGGCAAAAGTTGGAGCACTGACTTCATAGAGCTAAAAATGTTTTCACAATTAAAAACAAAAATAGTTGCATCAAGGGTAAAGGGCTGTGTTTTTGTTTTTTTTTTGCGTTTTTTTTTTGTATCCATGAAAAACTGAGCAAATAATATATTTGTGGTCACAAAAGAGTAAACTCATGTTGATATAATATGGCTTATATTTATGATAATGACATGCGAGCTGTAAAAATTCATTTTGTTGTTGTCTAGGTGCAGTTTGCATTCACATAGTATAAACATCCTCACATTGTATGTGTATTTGGTCTTACGTAGCTTAATCTCCAGGCTATATACACATTTACATGTACTTGCACTATCTTCTACTTGTTATGTCTTGTCATTAAAGTTACCTGTTCTTGTACAGCTGTGTAGAAATAGGTGATTTTCCGTACAATTGCGAGATCTCGCGAGATGCATGAAAAATGCGCGTCGAACGTCTGCCGCAAAAATCGAACGATTTGATTTTGAACTAGAATTTCTTTATTTCGCAGCTTACATTGACCGGCCGATCTTCGACAGAGGAATATTGCTTCCGAATACCCTTACTTAATCGAAATTGCCTATCATCAAATGTGGACAGCACATTATTAAGCATGGAAATGTCCCCAAAATACTTTCGCGTTTGTCGAATCCCACGCGATGTTTGACGCGACTACGACGCTATGACCTTTGTTTGTCCTGTTTTTACGTTCGATTTCACGCATAACGCGTGATTCTCGCAGTGAACGGAAAATGGTCTATTATTATTCACTTTGTGCTATTGTGTTTGTAGACGAATGAAAAGGGACAGGTAACAGCTAAAAGTGCATCCAAGTTATTGGAAGATTTAGTAGAGGAATCTGGATTGACGTGTTGTATTTGTAGGGAAGGATACAAATACCAATCAAGTAAGGTAAGCAATAGTGTACCACTGTCAGTTTATAGATGATTTTATTTTCACAATCAAGTAATTATGGTATTACTGGTGATGTGCCAAATAACATTACTGTTCACTTTTAAAGAGCGGTGTGCCTTCCAAGCGAACTGATTTCATAGGAATTGTGAGTCAAAAGAAAATCTCCCCAAATCAAGTTGAGACAGCTTGTTGACTTTTGGGGAAGTGGGTCTTTAAGAAAAAATAAAATTGTATGTGACAGTATTGGTGGCTTGAAGCTCAAACAAGCTGTTGTGATTTTCTTCGTTTTGAAGCTGATTTTGTTCACAAATTGTGAATTTTACCAAATTACAAATTTCATAAATTTCTACATCTTGTACGTTTTTCTGTTTCATTAGTGACAGTCCAGTGAATTAGCACAAATATTTCTTAACTTTTTTTTTATATTCTCCATTATTTCTGGAAATGAACCCTAATTTTGGAGCCAACAGATAAAATTTGAGTAAATTTTCAGTTTTTATTCAAAAAAATTGCCTATTTTTGTCCCAATTTTCTGAAGGAAAGTGCAGACTATAAACGGGAAAAATTTGTTATGAAAAAAGGGAACTGGTAGTGAAAAAAGTTAATATTAAATAAATCAAGGGTTTTCATAGCAACTGCACCAAACTTACACTGTGAGTTTTGGTAATGTTTTTCACACATAATTTATAGTAAGAAAGTTATGATTTAGTTTTTGTTTTATTATAATTATAATGTTCAAAATATATTTGTTTATTTCAGGTTCTTGGAATTTATACGTTTACCAAACACTGTAACTTAGAAGATTTTGAAAACAAACCTCGCAAAGTACAAGGGTACTCCACTGTGTCTCATTTCAATATTGTACACTATGATTGTCACATGTCAGCTGTCAGGTAAGCTTTTATAACATAGACATTTTGTATGTTTATATTTTTGCCAAAAGCATGCAAATGCTGCTCATTGGTAAACCCTAGCTCACAATCTGATATGATATCATTGCCATAAGTTGTTATATTAATACATAAATAAATAAATATTTAATAATAACAGTAGCAGCAAACAATACATTTATTTCATTTCTTTTGTGTACGTCAATCAGTCATTGCCCCAGAGATGCTTGCAAAATGTAAACAAGGCTATAATCACAAGATGGTTCTTGGTAGTGCTCTAAAAATGTCAAGAAGATAATATAAAATAAAATAGTTATATTGTACAGCTTGCTCTGTCTTCAACCATGTAATTTTGTATGACTATCATGTGACCATGTATGTATCAAAAAACATCTCTAAAAAGTTGACGTACCATCAGATCTAAAACTAAAAGAAGTCATAAACTGACTCCAGTGTATACATGTACTGTTTTTGTAACAGGGCTATCATTTTTTTCACATAGTAGCTCAACATGTGTTCTTTACTTTGCATATTATGTGTCTTCAAAACACACAAAATATTGCATTTGTTTCTTTGTGGTTTTCTTCACATACTGTAACATATTTTATTTTCGCTTGGAACTAATTTTCGCTATTTTTCGCTGGTGGAATGATTCAGTGAAAATAAAATCCAGCGAATATACTTTTTTTTCCTATATTTTACATTCAACTCGTCAAAAATCAGTGAAAATTAATTTCATACTAAACACCAAAAAAGTATTTTCAGCGAAAATTAACTCCAGCTAAAATAAAGTATTTTCCAGTACCAAATAGACTTGATAGACCATCAAATGGGACTCGCATCAATTCAATTAAAAAAAATTATTTTGAGTTCTGACCATGTTTTGTTGTTTTTCAGACATGCCAGAGGACGGGAAGAATGGGAGAGTGCTGCATTACAGAATGCTAATACAAAATGTAACGGTTTATTGCCTTTATGGGGACCACAGGTTCCTGAGTCAGCATTTGCTAGCTGTTTAGCTCGGTGAGTCTTCTTTAAATCATTTGTCTTCTTTAGTTCACAGCACAAACTTTGTTGAATTATCTCAAGACTGCATTTACGCCTCCTGATTCAAGTAATTTTGAATTTAACATTTGCTTCATGGAATTAAACTTTACTTGCATGGGACGGTCATTCATAATGATGTTAAACTTCTCTTTAGTGGATGGGATAGGAATCAGTATAGATAGTAGCTCAATCACGTCAGTTTCATTGACTTTTTTTTTATTTCAGACATAATACATATTTGCAAGAATGTACCGGACATCGTGAGCCTACATACTATACAACTGTGCATGATATTAAATTACTGATGCAGAGGTTTTCAACTGAGAAGTCTTTTAGTGATGAGAGTGGTGGTGGTGGTCGGCAAAGTAACATGCATTTAGTTGCATATATGATGCATATGGCACTATATGTATTAAACACGTAAGTCAGTCAGTGTATACTTTCTAGGCTTCTTTCACAAGTATTGATCAAAAATACATTAGAATTTACTCACCATCTTACTCACTTTATACTGACATTCCCTGATGACAAACTTGCTATATTAAATGTTTCAATAATAACCATCTTGAACTCTAGTGACAAACTAATAAGTTGCATCTCACTCATTTACTATATTAAATTATTATTATTAAATCTTTATTGCAGGACATAAAGTGAAAAAGCTCATCCACCCCTTTTAAAAAAACAAACAAAAATAATAATGACTCACTAATGAACTATATCTCGCCATCTCACACAATAATGAACTATATCTCACCATCTCACTCACTAATGAGCTATATCTCACCATCTCACTCACTAATGAACTATATCTCATCATCTCACTCACTTATGAACGTTATCTCAGCATCCTACTCACTAATGAACTATATCTCACCAATTCACTCACTCACTAATGAACTATATCTCACCATCTCACTCACTAATGAACTATATCTCACCATCTCACTCACTAATGAGCTATATCTCACCATCTCACTCACTAATGAACTATCTCACCATCTCACTCACTGATGAACTATATCTCACCATCTCACTCACTAATGAACTATATCTCACCATCTCACTCACTAATGAACTATATCTCACCATCTCACTCACTAATGAACTATATTCCTCCATCTCACTCACTGATGAACTATATCTCACTATCTCACTCACTGATGAACTATATCTCACCATCCTACTCACTGATGAACTATATCTCACCATCTCACTCACTGATGAACTATATCTCACCATCTCACTCACTAATGAGCTATATCTCACCATCTCACTCACTAATAAACTGTATCTCACCATCTCACTCACTGATGAACTATATCTCACCATCTCACTCACTGATGAACTATATCTCACCATCTCACTCACTAATGAACTATATCTCACCATCTCACTCACTAATGAACTATATCTCACCATCTCACTAATGAACTATATCTCACCAACTCACTCACTCACTAATGAACTATATCTCACCATCTCACTCACTGATGAACTATATCTCACCATCTCACTCACTAATGAACTATATCTCACCAACTCACTCACTCACTAATGAACTATATCTCACCATCTCACTCACTCACTAATGAACTATATCTCACCATCTCACTCACTCACTAATGAACTATATCTCACCATCTCACTCACTGATGAACTATATCTCACCATCTCACTCACTAATGAACTATATCTCACCAACTCACTCACTCACTCACTGATGAACTATATCTCACCATCTCACTAATGAACTATATCTCACCATCTCACTCACTCACTAATGAACTATATCTCACCAACTCACTCACTCACTAATGAACTATATCTCACCAACTCACTCACTCACTAATGAACTATATCTCACCATCTCACTCACTGATGAACTATATCTCACCAACTCACTCACTCACTGATGAACTATATCTCACCATCTCACTCACTGATGAACTATATCTCACCATCTCACTCACTAATGAACTATATCTCACCATCTCACTCACTCACTCACTCACTGATGAACTATATCTCACCATCTCACTCACTAATGAACTATATCTCACAATCTCACTAATGAACTGTATCTCACAATCTCACTCACTGATGAACTATATCTCACAATCTCACTAATGAGCTATATCTCACCATCTCACTCACTAATAAACTGTATCTCACCATCTCACTCACTGATGAACTATATCTCACCATCTCACTCACTGATGAACTATATCTCACCATCTCACTCACTAATGAACTATATCTCACCATCTCACTAATGAACTATATCTCACCAACTCACTCACTCACTAATGAACTATATCTCACCATCTCACTCACTGATGAACTATATCTCACCATCTCACTCACTAATGAACTATATCTCACCAACTCACTCACTCACTAATGAACTATATCTCACCATCTCACTCACTCACTAATGAACTATATCTCACCATCTCACTCACTCACTAATGAACTATATCTCACCATCTCACTCACTGATGAACTATATCTCACCATCTCACTCACTAATGAACTATATCTCACCAACTCACTCACTCACTCACTCACTCACTGATGAACTATATCTCACCATCTCACTAATGAACTATATCTCACCAACTCACTCACTAATGAACTATATCTCACCATCTCACTCACTCACTAATGAACTATATCTCACCAACTCACTCACTCACTAATGAACTATATCTCACCATCTCACTCACTCACTAATGAACTATATCTCACCATCTCACTCACTGATGAACTATATCTCACCATCTCACTCACTAATGAACTATATCTCACCATCTCACTCACTGATGAACTATATCTCACCAACTCACTCACTCACTGATGAACTATATCTCACCATCTCACTCACTGATGAACTATATCTCACCATCTCACTCACTAATGAACTATATCTCACCATCTCACTCACTCACTCACTCACTCACTGATGAACTATATCTCACCATCTCACTCACTAATGAACTATATCTCACAATCTCACTAATGAACTGTATCTCACCATCTCACTCACTGATGAACTATATCTCACAATCTCACTAATGAACTATATCTCACCATCCTACTCTCTAATGAACTATATCTCACTCACTCACTCACTAATGAACTATATCTCACCATCTCACTCACTAATGAACTATATCTCACCATCTCACTCACTGATGAACTATATCTCACAATCTCACTAATGAACTATATCTCACCATCTCACTCACTAATGAACTATATCTCACAATCTCACTAATGAACTATATCTCACCATCTCACTAATGAACTATATCTCACCATCTCACTAATGAACTATATCTCACCATCCTACTCACTAATGAACTATATCTCACTCACTAATGAACTATATCTCGCCATCTCACTCACTAATGAACTATATCTCACAATCTCACTAATGAACTATATCTCACCATCTCACTAATGAACTATATCTCACCATCTCACTAATGAACTATATCTCACCATCTCACTAATGAACTATATCTCACCATCCTACTCACTAATGAACTATATCTCACTCACTAATGAACTATATCTCGCCATCTCACTCACTAATGAACTATATCTCACAATCTCACTAATGAACTATATCTCACCATCTCACTCACTAATGAACTATATCTCACCATCTCACTAATGAACTATATCTCACCATCCTACTCACTAATGAACTATATCCCTCCATCTCACTCACTGATGAACTATATCTCACTATCTCACTCACTGATGAACTATATCTCACCATCTCACTCACTAATGACAAACTAATTTTCTTATTCCCCATCAGAACACGTTCTGTTCCCAGAGAAGAGAAGAATGTGAGTAATTTCCTGAAAGCTAATAAAGAGAAATGGGTGGAAAATTGTTTTGAAGTTGATGGCCCACTGTATTTTGCCATGCTTTCAATGTTGGTGAATGGTCAAGACAAATGGCAGACTAACAGACTGATGTTTCTGAAGAGATTACTAGTAATGTCACATGTACGCAAAGCACATCCTGGTGGAACAACTAAGTAAGTGTACCATATTGTAAACATTAATTCATTGGGCACAATAATTTGCCTTTTGTGTAATATTTTCCAATTTCTATGTATTTTTTTTTTAACTTTGGTAGACCAATTTAGACGAAATTTGATATTGGCTTCTGGTTTTGATCAAAATTTTGGAAAAAATGTGAACAGTGTGTTGGTTTAATTTGTGTATGTCGGCAACAGTTGACTATGGTGCTCAATAGGTGAAGTGACTGTCTTATAGATGGTTACATTAAGTGGTTTTGGAGTTGAAAGGACATTTTTATAGAAAACTACAAAAAACTATTTGAGAAATACAAATATATGCTCAATCAGTTCAGCAATCAAACTGGAGCAGAACCATTAGAATGTGTTATGTTTTGGGGGAAAAATTAACTGTACAATATCAAAAATTTTCATTTGATGCAACAACAAGGTACATTTGTGACATGTGAGGGAAATATAATCTATTAATTGAACCATTATGCATGCACATGGTGTTATCTTTGGCTAGATTACAACTCAATTCAGGAATGAGATGTGTTGTAACATGTTATCACACGAATACTGCAAGATATGCATTATAAGACAGCATGGTGATGTATTGACCATCGTTTAGTAATATCATTGTATTCATGTCCTATAACTATTAAAACATTATTACTGTTTATTGATAGACTGACAGACAAGGTGGTACGAGAGTTTACTGAATACAAGCCAGAACTCATTATCTATGCTCTGATAGATGGCTTCTATACCATCGTATTCAGAAATGTTAGTATGTCTAGTAATGAAAATTGGTCATCAGCGCTAGCTGAGTATATTCGACAGAATGATGAGGCGTTACTTAAAGGATCCGAAAAAGTGAGTGTCTTATAGTTTTTATGTATTAATGACATTACAACTTGATAATTGTGCAGTGTTTTAAAAGTTATTAACAAAATTTAGAATAATTACATTGTATCTCATCTTACAGCTTTTGTCTTACTATGAGGACTTGAAACCGACCGAATCCTTCCGTGAATTCTGTGACATTGTTGGTAAGTGCTTTCAGTGTGTTTTCATGTAGTGGGGTCGTTTGTTCAGTTCATATCCAGTTTACACACCACTACTCACAGTCTAATACATGGGTGGGGTGTAGACAATGCTGTATTAAATATACAGTGTGCATCACTGAATGTTCTTGATTTCTGTATTTCAGGTCTTCTCGGAGATGTCAGTAATCCAGATACTTTCATTGCAGAGCTTCTTAATGACTTACCGTGAATCAATAGTAAAATGTGACGCACTGTTCCTCACATTATAAATTCTAATGTATGAATGTACAACTATATTGACTTTATTAATTCTGCATTTTACTAGTATAATTTATGGTCAGGTGTAGCTAGATATGTATTACACATCAGTGTTTTTGCTTTTCACATCACATGTTGTGACAATGCTTGCTATCAATTTAACTGCTTTTAGAATTGATCATTTCACTGTAGGGAGGTGGGGCTTGCATGTTCATGCTTTTTAAAGCTATGTTGTCATCACTCGAGTGAATGAATATTCTTATGTTAAGTTATAATATTGTTGGAATTCTGAGGGTAACTTGATTTGAAGTTTTTCTGCGTGTGTACTTAATGATTAGTTGAATGATCATACTGCTTTTTATTCTGATTCCAACTGATTCACATCTTTTCTAATCAACATTACGTGTTACTATCATTACTGTATTGTTTCACATGTCAGAACAACTACCTGGTCACTGGTTTGTTATGCGTGGCGAGAGATTGTTACATGATTAGAACAAGTTAGGTCAAACCAACAGAAGGGTGCATCAAACTTTTCTTACAATCATGTATATTGACAAATAGAAAACTTTTTCTAAAAAAATATAAGAACTGACACAGACAGTGGTGTATGTCAGAATACAGTTGTTGTTCCATTTCTATTGCATGGTATAATAATAATCTTGAAACATGCAGAACAAACCACAATATGTTATATAAGAAATATACTTTATTGTACTACTATCTTGAGAGAAACTTCCAGCCAACTCTTACCTCCTCCTCTCTTCAAGGGAAATGTTGCTTAGAACTAAATAATTTTTTTAGCCTTTGTCAATGATTATATTGTTTTCATTTGCACCACAGCATGTAGTAATGTACTTTATTTGAAGGTTTACCAGTCTGAGAGTTGCTGAATAATAACATGTTACAACTGCTCAAAAAAAATGCCATATTTTGGTGAATTATTCACAATTGTGTGTAGCAGTGATATTTTCTCTGCTGTCCAACGACATGAAGTGTCAGAGTCTTCGTTGAATTTTGTTCTCACTAATGCTATAAAATCTTAAAAATTGTTAGCAGTGAAATTGAAATGTTTTACAGTAGTCAATTATAGAGCAGTTGTTTATACAAACCTTACTAAACATATTATTCTCTTCTTGGATGTTCCTGTCATAAATCTTGTATTGAATTTGAAGCCATGTAATAACAGACTTAGAGACCTTGAAGAATTAATGTGTATCTACATCGATATGTTGAGGTTTATACAACTTGGATTTTTTATTTTACTTGCTACATGCTGTTTGTCTAACATGCTTTATAGATGCCAATAAATTGTATTGCTCACTAAAACTATCATGTGTTGTTAACTTGAATGAACCAAGCATGCTTGATCCATGAGATGTGTCCATATCAGATTGTTATTCTGTAGTTCTGATAACACTTTAGTGATCCAGAGACAGTCTGAAAGTGATCTTCTAATAGTTGCTCACCACACTACGGTCCCGCAATTGTAAGATAGGGGTACAGGGGTACAGCACTTCCAGACTGTATTTGCATAGAGCCTTTTGGTAGACATGTGACTTTTTTAGAACACAGATAGACTACCTGTAAAAACACTGCATTGCCACTACTTGTTGCTTTGGAATCAAACACAGGCCATAATTTGATGAAAATGGTTATGTACAAAAAGTACTAATTTAAAAACAACCAGTGCATATGCGTACATGTATTGGACAATGTCAATCTCTCATCAACTTGTACTTACATGTAGCTATGTGCTGCATAAACGCTTTTAGATAATGTATTCATCCATTTTGTAACATTATGCTTGGATATTAAACAAAGATAGCAATTTCGAGTACTGAGAGGTTACCAAGCTTTAATTAATTAATGTTTTGGTGATTGGAAGATATTGAAAAAGTCACAGGCAAGTGAAAAACTCTTATTTGTTATTTCATTAGAAGACTCAGTAGTACCTATATTTTTATAATATCAGAAGTCAAAAATATTGAGGTAGGTACTTGCATATAAAATTTGAAAACATTCTGAATTGCAGTTTCGAAGCAGAAGAAGTTGAAATTGTAAAGTTCACAACGACGACGACGGACAATAAGTAATATGAACAGCTCTGCTGTGTCGACAGCGGAGCTAAAATTGGAAACATAAACCAAGCTAGGTTAGGTTATGGATAATGAAAGTTTTATTTTTGAGCATTGAAAAAAATTTGGTAAAACAATAATTTATGAAAACTACAACTCTACTTGTTACATCATAATACATTGGAATAAATGATATATTGCACTCTGATTAAAATAATTTACTTCATTGAATGATTGAAAAGCAATCAATTAGGTCATAAGTCACAATATATGGTTGTTATGTTAATGAGATGATTCATCACAAAAAGGCCTGACAGCCACATCAATGAAGTGAAATGCTTCTTATAACATACCTAATTATTTATGTGTGTTAACTTGGTAGAAGCTTTCTTATCAATTTTGAGAGAGCTGGTCATAAATGGCATGTAAATTCATGACAATGAAATAGCATTTGTTTGCTACAGTAATGTATTTTGAGAACACAATGTTACAAAATATTTTAAAACCTAGATTTTGGAAATAATTTAGAACAAAAAGTCATTTATAATATATGATTTTTACAGTCTATGGCACCAGCCTACAATACAAGATAAACAAAATGGCCACGATCCACTGAATTACAACCATAATTTTCTTGAACATTGGGCTGGTGACCCCTTACTTTTTTTAAGTCAATTTCCTTATTACTAATATTGCCCAGGATTACAATTTATTGTAAAACGAATAAATTTGACTATTTTTATTTATACGTAGGCTTCTACCTTAAGTGGGATTTTAACAATTATTTATGTACATACTGGAGTTGTGAAGCAGATATTTATGTATGAAATCATCACTATATTGCCAAAAACCAACATAAACAGAACTACCGGTACATCACAGGTGGTGACCACAGTAACATTATCATTAATTACTTTGCCTGTGATAAATACATGGCTACAATTTTTATCCGATCTTTGCCAAACTTAGATAAACATTTTGTCTACACTGCCAATGTATTCTATATGTATAGTTCACATTGGTCTCTCATCTCAAACACAATGCACTGTCAGTGATGTTTCTGAAAGCCTTCGTGCATTTAAGAAATTGTCACAAGTAGCAGTTTGTACTGCATAGAGTTGAATAAGATAAATGACAATGATAGAAAAGACAATGATTTGAATAATATTTGTATGCAAAAAATGAGGGGGGGAGGGGGGTGACACACACCATAAAGTACCAGGATGTGTGACCTTTTAAGGAGGTCATTCATAAGATCTGAGTAATCACAAGTCGTGAAGATTATTTCAAAAGCCAATGAGAAATTCCTTCTACATGCATATATTAAATAACATTACACAAGTCTGTCTGATTGGCTGTTATTGGAATATTATACATTTACACATCAAGTCACAAATAAATAACAAATAACACTTTCTTTATTCCTTTTCCTGTTGGTCGATGCATCCTTTTTCTTCTCCATTTTCTTCTTGTGGACTGTCATCTGCCGCACTCTGTGTTTCACGGGCTGGCTCCTGTAAATCCTGTCTCCGTGCAAGTTCTGGTTCACCACCGTATATCGAGTACAAATAATTCCACATATCCTCAGAGATCTGTCCACAGTCTGAGTCTGATAAAGAATCAATGGTAAAAAAAAATAGTCAATGTTTCTGCTAATAATTTTATTGGCTTGCCCATAATGATGTGAAGGAATAGTCATAGCAGTGTCAAAATGTCTGTCGTCATTGTTGTAAATTTTCCTTGTGATCATGATAACTCCAATAATATTCAGCTGAACTAGATATGTAGGTACAGCTGACCTGTATAGATTTCCCAGTTGTATTTTTGATGATATTTTTAAAGTGTACATACCGATAGTTTCTCTTAGGAAACTTGACAGTGTAATTGTATGCTATGATCTGCTCACCTTTACATACATGTATCAGGGCAAGACATGTGTAGTGAAATTAATATAGAACCAAACATAGTTAAACTACCGTCCCTCGGTGGACGGTGGTTAAACTACCTATCAGCCATGTTATTACATAATGATCTTTACAATAACTACTTCTGCAACACAGACATATTGTAGATATGGATGAAATCAAAGTCATTGACAGAGACAATGTGGATGAAATCAAAGTCATTGACAGAGACAATGTGGATGAAATCAAAGTCATTGACAGAGACAATGTCATTTGGTTGTACATGTATAAGCATTCAAAATATACCAAACAACTTGAAAACAATATTTTGAATAGCAACACATTTAAATATCAACAGCATCCTTTCACTCATCCATACTTTGTGGCTTGGGAAAAGAGGAATATTAAAGTTTACTTGGAAACAAAGAACAGACTTAAAGGCACTTGCAAACATGAAACTGTTAACAGTACTATACTGCAAAATCTGAATGAACAGAACCAATGACGAGACATTCTTGCTGTAGTATGCCAATGCTTTCTTCAATAGAACAAAGTACAAAATGATACATACCATTTTTACGTAACCATTGTCCACCTTTATTGACAGCAATGTCAGAGTTATCAATGGCACCTGGTGGCTCTGCGAGTACGAAAAATAAATTATTCTCACTGAAAACATTAGGCACATATTAGCATGGGCCAATTTCATTCAAACTTGAGATTGACATTACCCATTGTGGGTTACTTAATTCATTAAAAACGACTGACTGGTGGTCATTTTGTTTTACTCTCATGCGTCTTATTCATTTCTCAAATATAGTTTCACCAATGAAATGAAATTATGACAATATGTGCTAAAGATAGGTGGAATAGGTCTTTTATATTTTTCACAATCCAGAAATGTTCATTCTCTAACTTTATGTGAAAATAATGAGCACAAATGAGAAACACAGGTGTAATTTTTTCCAGCTTGATGATTTGATATTAAGTTACATTTTATACACAAAGAAGATAACGCTACCTGACAGTTTTCCTTTGACAAATGATTCCCAGTCTCTGAACCATGACATACTAATAAAATATATCACACTGGCTTCCCCTTCATTCTGGAATTCATTATTCAACTAAAAAAGGAGAAAAGAATTAAGTTAAGATTTGAATAAATTAGAATGAATTCCAAGCTGTTTATCATCACAAGTACTACAACACAGTAAAGTTGTGTAAGGTTAGAAGTTTGTATGACAACACAGCAAGAAGAAAACTAATGACCTACCTTGACAAAGGTCTCCAGCTCTTCTTTTCTTCTCTTGTCCAATTTCTCCATTTCAATCTGACATGTAGGACATGTGTAAAGATGATTGACAGCAGGGCCACCTCCAAATCTGAGACATATCACACATAATTGATATACATGTCATGCATTCCATCACAAATAACTGGTTCATATAACCAATCAGAGAGCAGTTTGTTTGTTTGTTTGTTGTTTGTTTGTTTTTTCAACGTACTGTGGAATACTTTATTTTCGCTGATATTAATTTTCGCTGAAAAGGCTTTTTGGGCATTTTGCCTGGAATTTATTTTCACTGATTTTTGATGAGTTTAATGTAAAATATAGGAAAAAAGTATATTTGCTGGATTTTATTTTCACGGAATCATTCCTTCAGCGAAAATAGCGAAAATAAATTCCAAGCAAAAATAAAGTATTCTACAGTATTAAATTTTGCCTTGTATAAGATGCTTCTACTCAAATAGCTTTGATAACTTTTTCTGTCAGAAACCTATGACCTAATTTG